TTTTGAGAATTCTTTCCTTTTTGATCTATAGTGTAAGTGTTAAGATGACTGTTTTGTGTTGTATTTCTCTGTCTGCAGAATCAAAGATTATAACCATTGAGTGCCACTCAAAGGATTTAGATGATAATGGTTTAGGGACTAAAATGCACTAGCCTGAAGTACCCCTCATTGTGAGTCTCTCAAATGCGTTTTCTACTATAAAAATGTTTGGTGTGTGATGGACCCCTTTCGCATTATTTATTCCACCTTGCCACAGGACAAATTATATATTTTTGTTTTAATGTACAGTAGTAGTTGTAGTAATCTTAAAAGCTGTCAATGTTGACTTGAGAACATCCCGCCTTTCCCAGAACACATACATTGACACATATTGCCAGACAACACCTTTTTGCCTTTTAACCCACAAACAGGAATAACTTGGACCTGGGGATGCAAATTTTTTATTTTTTATTTTGGGGACACAGTCTTATGAAGTGATTATTAACACCTTTCTGCCAGACTGAATACTGTTTCTATTGGCGTGGAAGGGTTTTAATCATGTACTGAGTCTGTTTTTTGTTTTTTTTCTTCATTGGTCCCCATTATTCCAGTTAGTTGGTGGTTACAATTATAGATCTCAAGGACCACTACTAGTTATCAGTCTACCAAATGTTTGTTTTTGAGCACTTAACAGAAATTGTAAAGTAAGTACTAGCAATGATTCATTCTTCAAGGTCCATTAAGTCAGTTGTTTATAACTGGATAATGGCTTTGCTTTTTGTTTAATTTATTTTTTTGCCACATGCTGATTGGGTTACCAGATGTACCAGAAAGAGGCTGTCAATGTAAACTGGTTAAAACCATGTGGCCTCCCTTGCTGTGGTTGTGCCTTTCCAAAAGCAAATGTCTTCTTTAAAAAAGTGTTTTTCGAGGGGAGTGGGTGGGAGATGTGCAAGATGGGAGGAACATAGGTGAATGTGTGAACAAATCTCCATCTATTTGTTGACAGAGTAGTAAATTGGGATTTACAATACAGGAAAATACATTCAAAACATGATCACTTTTCTACAAAGTTCCCTGCAACCCAAGTCCTGCTGCTCATATTGTGGCTTTGAATCAATTCTGTTTATTAAAAAGCTTTAGCTTCTAATATGTGTCGCTTGTTTTTTTTTTTTTTGTTTCTTAATATGTGGATGCCTTGTTGAGTGCATGGTTGGTATTACAATTTTCTATATAGATTTGTACTAACACCAAATAGACTGTAAACGGAATGTAATACTCTGTGTAAAGCACATTATTACAAATTGTAAGGTATGCTATTGGGCTGATATGCCAAACTGCCTAGTGAAATACCCCAGATCTGCTTTAAATGTGCACTATAATGATCCTCTAGCCTGGTGGGTACAAAGACAAGTTTAAATTTGGGTCCTAAGCTATTCACAAAATGATTGCTTTTTAGTATGCGCATACATCTACCTTGTTGAATCCAATCAATTGGACAATTCTGTAACCTAGATGATTGGTTGAATCCATAGGTACATGCAGTATAAAACTGGGCCCAAAGAAAATAAGCATATTTTAACAGTTATTAAAATTTGATGTAATACAGTGGCTCCCAACCTTTTTCACTTGAGTACCCTTTGGCAGCCCATTTTCATCTTTCTCTTTATTGAAATTGAACATTGCATTTTGGTATCTTATAGAGCCCCTTATCAGTAGGTCTTAAATCTTAATTCCTGTGTATCTTTGTCAGTACTTCTGGAACAGGCAAACAGCACCTAACATCTGTCTCTATTTCTTCAAGCAAATTATACATGCCACCTGCACCTCTCTAATAGTAGTCTTTGAGTGTAAAACACCAGTCAGTTTATAGTCTAGTAACAAAACTCCTACTGCCGTTTACTACACCCTCATAAAGTATGTATATGAGCGCTTAGTTTAGGACAAGATTAAAATTGTGCAAAACTTATTTAATAAAAGTGGTAATTGCAAAGTTATTGTTTATGTATGTATGCCTTAACTCTGGGAAAGACTTGGTAATCCACATGGTATATATCTAATGATTCTGAAATGTATTGGGACTTGCATGGGGCCCAAAATCAGATTTTGTGCAAGTCACCATCTTCCTTGCCAGAGACCCCCCTGGGTTGAAGTTTTACTTTGAAAACCAGAGTGATTAGGTCTTCTGTTATTTTATCCTTTTTGTTTTTCATCTGTTGGTGTAAATAGTAGAAAATAGTTTCCATACTTACCATTATTTTTTTTTTACCTGGCTATTATACATGGCAGCATCACATATGGGTAAGCTCCTCCTCCCAGCTGTCAGGACAGGAATAATTAAACAATTCAATAAAAGCCCTCTCCCCTCTAGACCCCTCAGTCTTGGTAAAGGGACACTCCAGTGCCAGTTCAGTTTTCCTTACACTGCAGATCACCTCCCATCCCCAGTTGCTGAAGGGGTGAAAACCCCTTCAGTCACTTACCTTAGACCCCCGCCGATGTCCCTCGGCAGTGGTTTCGGGTCGCCGCTGCTCCTCCCCTTCCTTACATCAGCCGGTGGGCGAGACTGATCTCCCCCGCCGGGGAGACCTAATGCGTATGCGCGCCAATGATGCGCATTAGAGCTCTCCATAGGAAAGCACTGAAAATTATTTTCAAAGCTTTCCCATGGGGATTTGAGCAACGCTGGGGCACAGAAAACCTGTGCTATAGACATGGAAGTGCCCTCTAGTGGCTGTTCAGTAGACAGCCACTAGAGGAGGAGTTAACCCTGCAAGGTAATTATTGCAGTTTATAAAAAAAATAATCAATAATTACACTTTCAGGGTTAAGGGTAGTGGGAGTTGGCACCCAGACCACTCCAATGGGCAGAAGTGGTATGGGTGCCTGGAGTGTCCCTTTAAATGGCCCTAGTTGAAGAATCCAGAAGGGAGAGAGCGTGATGCTGACATGTATAATAGCCAGAAAAAGAAAATAACTGCAAGTATGGAAAAAAAATTCTACTTTCCTGGCCGTACATGGCAGCATCACATATGGGTATTACCCAAGCTCTGAATAAGGGTGGGGTCTTAACAAATGGTAGTGAATACAGTCGCTTTATTGAGGCTGAAAATTTTCAAAATATTTATTCGTCATTTCCTGCTACCGAAGCAAGAACACTCTTCCCAAAGCGAGCCTCGTTTGAGGAAGACAAATCTAGTTTGTAGTGATTTGACAAATGTTATCGGAGAGGACCATGTAGCTGCCTTACAGATGTCCTCAATCGGCACCTCCGCTCTTGAAGCCAATGAAGTAGCCAGCTTTCTTGTTGAGTGTGGTTTGATGACGCACGCCGCCTGATGGCCTTGGGAAGTGTAAGCCCTTTTAATGACTAGAGAAAGCAATCTTCTCAATGTTGTAGTGGATGCTGCTTCACCTTTTTTACTGCCTGAGGGTGAAATAAAAAGCTTGTCAGATTTTCTGAAGTTCTTTGATCTCAGTAAGTAGACCTTTAGGCATCTCATCACATCCATTTTGCTCCATCCTACTACTTTGTTAGTCGGATTCGGAAAGAATGAAGGTAGAACAATTTCTTGCTGAATGTGGAATTTAGAAACTTTCGGAAGGAAGTCAAGTTTAGTAACCATCACCACCCTATCCTGATGGAACACAGAATAAGGTTCTTAAGCCCAATGCTTGGATCTGATACTCTTCTGGCCCATGTAATGGCTATTAGGAATAGAGTTTTCATGGTGAGCAAGTAAATTCCTATTTCTTCTAGTGGCTCAAATGGAACCTTAATGAGAGCCTTAAGTACTAGGGGTAAGTCCCAAGGAGGCGCCAACTGTTTTGTAGGTGGTCTAATCCTCAAAACTGCTCTAAAAAATCTCATGAGAGGATCCAGAGCCCATCTAGAATTTAAGGGTGAAATCGCCGAAACATGGACTTTCAAAGTGCTCAGACCAAGTCCTTTATCCAGACCCTCTTGAAGGAAGTTCAGGATGTCTGCCACGCTAGGAGCATCACAAGGTATTCCCTTATCCACCATCCAGAAACAAAACTTTTCCCATATTTTATAATAGGAGGCTGACTTAGAGCATTTCCTGGATCTAGAATTTAAGAGACAGATTCTGACAGGCCCGATTTCAAGAAGTTGTTTTTCCTCAAGAACCATGCCGCTAACTGAAGTGACTGGGGTTCTGGATGCACCACTGGACCCTGAACGAGCAAATCCCCTCCCACTGGAAGTATTATTGGGAAGTATTATAACAGGAGCGGAAACCAAGGTCTCCTCTGCCATGATGGGATGATTGCGATCACGTGCAATTTTCCTTGCAAATTTTCCTCAATACTTTGATTAGTGGTATTGGTGGAAAAATGTAAGCCAGTTCGAACTCCCACTTTTGGGATAGGGCATCCTGGGCTTCGGCTTGGTTGTCTTTCCATCTTGTGTAGAATCTTGTTTGCGAGTTGCCATAAAGTCTATTTGCAGTGTCCCCCATGTCCTTACTACCTGAAGGAAGACTTCCCGGTTTGGAGACCATTCCCCTGATTCCATACTTGCTCTGCTCAGGAAATCTGCTTAGGTATTTTCTGTTCCCGTTAAGTATACCGCTTTCAGGTGAATCATGGCCCAATGCATAATCGGTTGTAGTTGTAAAAGCAGCTGATGGCTCTTCGTGCCTCCTTGATGGTTCAGGTAGGCAGCAACCACCCTGTTGTCTGTTCTTACCAGCAGCCTCTTCCCCTTCGTGCTTTGAAGACTGCCCTCATCTCCAGGATGTTGGAGTGAAGACTGGTCTGGTTGTTCCATACTCCTTGCGCAACAAGGTTCTTGTAGTGAGCTCCCCATCCTCTTGTACTTGCACCTGTAGTACTAACTTCCCGTTGGGGATCTTCCAGGGGAAACCCTTGGTCAAGTTAGATCCTTCTGTCCACCACCTTAGGTGAAGCTTCAGGTCTTGAGGAAGTATAATCCATTGGTCCCAGTTCATTGCTGACTTGTTGATCTGTGTGAGGAAATTCATCTGAGCCTGTCTCGTCTTCCAATATGCCCATCTGACCAGGCCTATGGTCGACGTGAGGGATCCCAGGACACTCATATAATCTTTTGCTCAAAGTCTTGTCCTTGGAAATATTCCTAAAATCTTGCTCTTGATCCGAGCAATGCGATCTTGGGATAGAGAGAGAGTTGAAACTTCTGTGTCTATCTTTGCTCCCAGGAACACAGTGTCTGGATGGAATGAGATTGCTTTTTTTTTGTGTGAGCCACCCAAGTGTTAACTCACCTCTTCTGTCTGCTGTGTGGTATTCCTGTGCTACTACCAGGATATCGTCCAAGTAGTGGAATACTTGGATTCCTCTCTTCCTTAGGATTGCAATAACTCTTATAAGAACCTTCGAAAATGTTCTTGGTGCCAAACTTAGACCAAATGGCATGCCCTAGAACTGACAGTGCTTCCCCGACAACCAGAACCTCAGGAACTTCTGATGAGAAGGATGTATTGGGATCTGGTAGTATGCATCTTTCAGATCTATCGATGTTAGCCAGTCGCCCTGATGTATACTTATGTTTTATGGATGTGATAGACTCCATCTTGAAAGACCTGTTCTTGAGGTATAGATTTATTCTCTTCAGGTCTAGAATAAGTTTCCATTTTCCGTTTGGTTTGGGAGCCAAAAATACATTTGAAGAGAATCCTCTGCATTCTTCCATTCGCGGGACTTGCTTGATGACACCTTGAGTGATCAACTGCTGAAAGCAGTTCTCCATTGCCTTCCGTTTTACGCCTGCTGACACCCTTGATTGATGAAACATGATTTTTTTTTTTTTTTAAATTCTTCGAAATTCGAGTTTGTATCAGTCTTTGATTATGCTCAGGACCCACTTATCTTTGGATGTTGCCCATACCGGAAAGAAGTGTTTTAGACTGCCCCCCACTGTTCCAGTCTGGACGTCCTGACCTTCATAATTGTGTTCTGGCTGGTACCTCTCCCTCTAGATCCTCTATTGGAGTGAGAGAATCTACCATATTCTCTTCCTGGCTTGTATGACCGATCATCGTGAAAATACCTCTTTTTGTTGAACTTGTCCTTATAGGGTGCGCTGTAGGGTCTTCTATGTGACTGTGGTAGAAACGCTTTCTTCCCATCCGCGGCGTTTTGAATGGCATCATCCAGGACTTTACCAAATCTTTCTCCTTGGAAAGGCAA